TAAAACAAAATTGAATGTTGGCTCTTTTTTTCGAAGGTCATTTTCCGACCGATAACACAAACATACTGACACTTAAAACGCAATAACTTCACTTCCAATCGATGAAGTTTCATGAAATTCTCACTGAACAATCGATAAAGATAGCAGATTCTAACGCACCAGTGGACATATAGATAGCGCCACCAGGGCGCGCTAGCTTCAAAAAGTCCTGTTTCCTTTGAATTGCACCTTGTATTGTGTTTTAAAAGTTTTCGCTAATAATAAATACTAGACTTAGAAACAGGTCATTAAAATTAGAAGTTAAGGGTGCCCGAAGAATGTTGTGTCCACTGTGTAGTACTCGTATATATGCTTGTATGTATATAGTACAGATGTATGTGTTTCAATTGTTATTGTATGTATGAACGTGCATTTATTGCATCTTATCTCCAAGTTATTGGGTTCCGAGCCATTGAAGACCGGCACCAATTTTCGCTGAGGAAGGCAAAACTCTTTATTATATTCTTGTGTATAGAATGTATGGTACTAAGTATATAAAAACATAATAATTGTTATTGCAATGAGCGCCAAATTTACTCAATGTTCAATGTCCGCACCTGTACTTAGTCAGATGTCAGGCAGTTAGTCAGGCAGTCAATCTGTTTGAATCCATGTCGCCAGTTGTCTCAAGGCGGCAAACAGGCCAGCCGCATATAATCACATACTATATACATACATACATAAGTACATACATATTTATGCATTTAAATAATGCACCACAGTTCGGCGCCAGTAATAACAACAGAAACAACAACAACAATAGCATCAGCGCCAGCGCCAGGGCCAGGAAACCGGAAGAGAGGAATATTTTCCGCTTAAAATGCCGCAAAGTGTTGTTGACTTCAGCCGGCAGCAAGCGAGCAAGTGATGATGAGGATGACAAAGGCGATGACGATGGCGACCGCTATATGTTTGTACATACGTGGTCTGTTCAAAAGAAAAGGTTAATTTTGATTTTTCGTGAGCAGTGTACATCCGATTATCTATATTGGTACACATATGAATATCATATGTTGGCATTATCAGCAAATTTGGATTACAACTAGTAGTTTGTTGTTCTTCGATTTTGAACTTTAAAAAAAAAAATGGATCAATGAATATCTGTTAAATTTTGCGTTAAAAATGGAATAAGGTGCTCCAAGACACTTGAAATGCTGACCGTCGAGTCCACTTTGTCTGATAAATGTGTTTATGAGTGGTACAAACGCTTTACAGAAGACCGAGAAGATGTGGATTACGATGAGCGTCCTGGAGTTTCAACCACGTCAACATTGGAAAATTGTCGAATCACTATTGGTGAAGTTGCAGAGGATGTTGGCATATCAATCGGCTAATGCCATGCAATTTTCTCGAATGCTTTTGGGCATCAAACGTGTGGCAGCGAAGTTTGTTCCGAAATTGCCAAATTTTGAACAAAAGCAACGTCGTTGTTCGTGATTTCTTTCCATATTCATCAGATTTGGCTTCCTGCGACTTTTTCCTATTCCCTAAACTGAAGAGACCAACGAAAGGAAAGCGTTTTGCCACAATTGACGAGATAAAGTCAGAATCGAAGGAGGAGCTGATCGCCATACCGAAAGGCGCATTTTAGATGGCCTTCGAGGATTGGAAAAAGCGCTGGCATAAGTGCATTATATTTGAGGGGATTACTTTAAAGGGAACAAAATGGTTATTCATGAATAAATAAATACCTTTCAAAAAATTCAAAATTCACCTTTTCTTTTGAACAGACCACGTATCTGCGACGAGGTAGGCAACGAGCAACAATTTATTTATTTTTATTATATGTAGTATGTTTTTCTTTTTACTTCGTTATGTTGCTGCGTTTCATTGTTATGGCTGTTGTTGTTATTTTTGCAGCTGTTGTCATAAAACTTATGTGAACGTTTGCACACCTTTATAAGCAATTTTTTGCTGACATCGCACAAAATGGCAACAGCAACCGAAAACTCTGGGCAGTGTGCAGCTCCAAGAACCCATAAAATTAAAAAAATAAAAACAAATTTATTTTACCCACCTGTATTTAAATATACACGCATATATACAAATATATTCATATACATATGCATGTTTATGTGTACATACGTGTATGTAGAAGCATATGTAAATGAACGTATGTATGTATATTATGTCTGTGGGGCATATCGTCAACAATTCCGCTTTAAGTGTAGCTAGAACTAAGCAAGCTATGCTGGCATCTGGGCACTATCAGGTGGCGGGCACGAGCGCCACTGAATCACCACTGCACCACCGGCAACACGTGAGTAAAGCTAAAAGAAAAAACACGTCTTACATAGCCCTTACAAACTATCTATAATATTACATATTATTCACTTCACGATATAGAACATCATCAGACAAAGCCATATTTCACATAAATACTCGTAATGGATTTTTCGATATAACTCTCATTTGGGAATATTCATAACATTCGGCCATATTTAGAAGAATACTATACATAATAAGATAAAAGGCATATGTAAAATAACATGTATAATAAAATATTTTGAAATATTCTTACAAACACTCAGAAGATGACAAATAAGTATTTTTAAGCTACATGCGCCATCTTTTATGTCGGTATGTAAATATTGAATAACTTTGTCATTAGTGACTTGAGTAGACCAGTGTTGAAAACTTCAGTTCAAGAAATTGTACAGAACCAAATTAAAAAAAATATCTCATACTTGAAAATCGGTTGTTTATTTTTAAAGATATTCAATAATTACATACCGACATAAAAGATGGCGCACCCTGTATGTATTTTGGAAATGCATTGGAAAACAGCAAGATTTTACAACAAGTGGTGTAATAATGGCACAAAATATAAAAGTATGCTATGTACTGATTATATAATGTCTATTTATCTTTCTTGAGCGGCAGAGGAACGCATGGCGGCTAACATACATTTGTATGTACGTGGGCGTAGCCAGGATTTAATCCAGGGTCAAGATGTTTTTGGCCGATTTCTTACTAGGTATCAAATTATTTTGAAAAAATTAGTATGGAAGAAGAAAGGAATGCTACTCTTAAATACCCTCTACCACCCCACAAAAAAATTTATTAAAAAAATGTAATTAATTAATTAAATTAAATATAAAATATTCCATATATACATTTACATTTACATCAGAATCGTGTCTATGCGTGTGTACTTGTACATATGTATGTGTGCATTACATAATTATGTCAAATCAGCAACAAATACAGCTGCGGCCACAGCTTGGGCCTAGTTATTTGGCTATAACTTTCTGCATCCGATGTGCATCCGAAAAAATAAACAAACTCGTCCTTTCTCGGGCTCAGGAGAATCTGGATACCAAGTTTGGTTATTCTAGCTCTTATACTTTCTGAGATCCTTGCGTACATACAGGCAGACAGACAGACAGACGGACTATATGGCTATATCGACTCGGCTTGTCATGCTGATCAAGAATATATATACTTTGTGGGGTCTGCCACGCCTCCTTCTGTGTGTTCCATGTACAGTCGCACAAAACTAATATACCCTTTTACCCTTTGGGTACAGGGTATACAAATGAAATTTGAAATAATGAAAATGTGTGTTCATATACAGATTTTGAATGCAATACAAAAAAAAAAAACACTTGCTAAAAATAACATTTGTGATCGTGTAAGTTTTATAAAGTTGGTCCATAAAAAGAAAATTTACTTCAAGTGTTTACAAGTTAGGGTTAAATATTCATAGCTGGCAATATCTGGTGCCAGAATGGCCAATATGGAACTGCAAGCAATTTAAAACACCCCCACAGTCGCCGGATATGAATCATATAGAACACATTCGGTACTTACTGGAATAAAGAACACGCAAACATCACATAACATCAAAGGAAATGCAAAAACCTCCCTTGGAGAAATCTTACTTCGTTGGTAGTATGCGTAGGCGCTTGGGAGCAGTTATCCAGACAAATTACGATGTAACAATATATTGGGTGTGTATATATTAATTTTATATGTACATTTTAAAAGGTGTGTCAAGACTTTTTCTTGTGTATTTTCAAATGTATGTGAAATAATTTGATATGCGTGTTATAGATAATTAACAAATAATACTAACTGAATTGAAGGAAAATTGTCAAAACCCATCAATAATAAGTACTAAGTACGTTTTCCATACGAAATTCTGCCTGTCGTTGTTTTATTTTTTTGATTTTTCCCCTACTTCTTCCCTGTGTGGGACTTTCCGTTCGTATGATAACCTTTACCTCGTGAACTATGAGACCTAGGGACACCAATTTGTAGTCCAAGATGCACAATATGAATGCGCTGAATGAATGAGTATTTTGGAATTTCCCTGCTTCTCCCCTCTCCCCCTCACCCTGAATTATATTTTCCATAACTCGAGTATTTCTCTCCAGTTAGTGATACCGTATACTAAGTTTCATTATGATAGGCCTATTTAACAGAAAGTTGTTGTTGTTACTGCTTTACCGCATAGACACAATTCGTTGTTAATGTGCAGTTATACACGCTTTACGAGAGTTCGAATACCGAAGGAGGTAAAATTTATTTGTAATTGTTTTTAATTTTCCCAATTTTTTAATTTCTCTAATTATTCTACAATATGTGCAGAGTATTTCAAAGTCGGGATACTCCACTTTAGCTTCTCCACTTGTTTATATATAGAGACGATCAGACTCGAATTAATACGAGGAATATTCGAGCTTTGATCAATTCTCGTTCGATCATTCGGCGATCATCATAAAGGAAATGAACGAATCAGATAAAGCAATCATGTCCGCTGCTTGAACGCGAAAATACTCAAAAAAATGGGGTTAAAATGCTGAACTTGATCGAAGAATCTTCAGAATTTATGGCATGGGTGGTCGAACACACCCGTTGCAACTCTCTGAATAGTGTACTATTCCATATAACCTAAGATGTAATGTCGTTTTATACGAACATGAAGCGATTTCTGGCTAAATAGTCCATGTTACTTGTAAGATGGATAGTTGCAGTTGTTTTATTGAAATATTAGATTTGCTTTTATAAGATTGTCGAAATGTTAAGGAAGCACACAGCAATGGGACCAAGTAGCAATGACAATGACACTTCCAAAGCTTACACTCACTGCTGCTTCTTGGCTTTCACCCATAGGCCCGTATCAATACAGCGCTGCAAATGGAACTTGGCTTCGTCCGGAGGCAGCTGTTTCACGATGTGCTTCAGTTCTTGTACGTTGCGTGTCTGGAAGCAGCTCTTGAGGGACTCTGGTAGCGACTGAAAGACCTCAAATGGACCAAGCCCGGCTTTGGGGCAAGGTGTGCCCGGGGACGACTGATTGGATGGCGACTTACTTGCTGCTGGCTGCTGACGTGGAGGTGCCACCTCCTTGCCCTGAGCGCGCATAGTCAGCCGTGCTTTTAGCGCCTCTGTTTCTGTCTGGAAAGCGCTGTAGTAGAGCGAATCGTATTCGATAATGCGTGTAAAGAACGGATTGATGCAACGGCGTGGATCCTCATTCATCTGTGAGCCTAACTCCACTATAAACTGCAGTATCATGCACTGATGGGCCACTTGGGACATCTCCTCCAGGCGACCAGCCGATATTAGATCCAGACACATATTCATCAGATAAGCGGTGCCATCGGTACTAATTATATTCGCATGGCTGTGCAGGAAGCGCATGGTGTCTTCGTAGCTCTCCAAGCGTACGTATTCATCGGCGACTGGACCGTACATTTCAATGAAGCGCCGCATGCGTTTCTCCAACTCTAATAATGTGAAGCGTTCAGTTTTTTCCAGTGAGAGGCAGGGCTTTGGCTGCTCAGGGCGCTTATTGATCATCGTTTTGACGAAGCCTACTCGCGTAGGCCCTCTTAAGGCTGGGTCGCTCAGAAGGCGCTTCTCCTCGGCTGCAAACAGAGCGTCCTCCTGCTCGAGCATTGGCAGCTGCTCCTTAAGCTCTAACAGCTTCAAATTCCAGTGGTCAGGGTTGCCTTTCTTCTTGGCAAGCTTGAGGCGGTATATCATCCGACAGGCCTCATTATTCTGACGTCGCATAACAAAGTCCATGCGCCTATTCTGAAATTCGATAACCCGTTTCTCCAAAGCAGCTTGCTTAACCTTTTGAGCTGAACCGTTGGCCGGCTGCTCGTCATCTGAGTCAGTCAGGTTAGTCCATTTGCTGTAGTCTACCATGTCGAGCTGTCTCTAAGAAGAAATAATTAGGAATTTGTTAGTAATGCTTTCGTTTATTTCCAACTCTAAGAATAGAATGCGTGTTCGTGTACGTATGCAGTGCAGAGTTGAGCCAAATCAGCAACACCAACAATTAACCTGTCAAGATGATAAGTACTAACTGTATGCAATTGTCGAATTTAAGTAGGAAATACCACGTATCACGGAAGTTATGGAATATATACATATATTACTTGTATAGCGGAAGAGTTTGGAGTGCATCAGGAAAAAAATAGGCTTGTCTTCTCGGACCTAGAACGATATTGATCCCTTTTTGGTTATGAAATGGCTTTATCGACTCGTCTAGTCATACTAATCAAGAATATATACACTTTGGCGGATCTGCCACGCCTCCTGTGTGTTACATAAATTCGCACTAAACCAGTATACCCTTTTACCTTCTGGGTACAGGGTATAAAAAGATGGAGCAAGAGACGTTATGTCATCAGTTGCACCCGCTTTCCCCTGTCTGGCAGCTTTATCCGATTTCCTTATTGTCAGCAGTTCCGAACGGTGACCCGTCCTTTGACTACAAGTATCACACCTCAGACCATGCCTCCGGTCTTCTCTTGGCACGTACTAGAAAATATTCGGACACTTACCTATGCTTTCGTTGCGAATTGATAATAGTTAATTTTGAATATAGTTGAGAAATTCTAACATTAATTTTCGGCGTACAGTTGTAAATAATGGGAAAATTTCTATTGAGACGGCTTTTTGTGTTAATAAAATATACTGACAGTATGTCTCTTGCTGAGGCGCCTACTCACCCATAAGAATTTGTGCACAAATATATACTATATACAAGGTGTTTTCCAAAGTAAACATGACCTAAAAAAAAAAAACAGAACAAATGTTTTTCGGCAAAATCAATTTATTTTATTCAAAATAGTCTCCTTCTGCTTCAATGCAGCTTTCTGCACGATCCAAAAGCATGTCGAACGAGTGTTTTAGCTCGTTGGCCGGTATCGCCTTTTGAATGGCCTCTACGTCTGCATAACGCTTTCCTTTCATGGGAAAATGCATTTTTCCGAAAAGGTAGAAGTCGCACAATGCCATATCAGGTGAATACGGCGAGTGGTTAATGGTTCAAATGCGATTTTTGGTCAAAAATTCGGTCACAATCGGTTGGATTCTGAGCAATCAGTCAGTTTGTCAGTCAATTTGTTTTAGCTTTTTTACTTGTTTTAAACTGCATATGTTGTACAGACTTTTATTAGTTCCAGCATCAAATAAAAAAAAAAAACAACATAGAACGCTACAGTCGAGCAAGCCCAACAGTAAAATACCCTGTCCTCTCCACAAAAAAAAGGAAAATTTAAAAAAAGTTAATTAATTAAATTACCTTTGGGTACAGGGTACTCACTTTTTATACTCTGTACATGAAATGTACAAGAGTATATTAGGTTTGCGCGAGGTGAAAAATGTAATAGCCAGAGGAGGCGTAGAAGACCCCACGAAGTATGTACATATATTCTTGATCAGAATGACAAGTCGAGTCGATCTCGCCCTGCCTATCCGACTGTCCCTCTTTATGATTACCTAGACCTATAGACTCCAAATTTTGCACAAAGATGCTTTATGTGAGTACGCTATGCGAGTTTGTTTTATTTTTATACCCTGTAGCCAAAGGGTACAAGGGTATATTAGTTTTGTGCGAGTGCACATGGAACACACAGAAGGAGGCTTGGTAGACCTCACAAAGTATATATATTCTTGATCAGCATGACAAGCCGAATCGATATAGCCATGTCTGTCTGTCCGTCTGTCTGTATGAACGCAAGGATCTCCGAAAGTATAAGAGCTAGAATAACCAAACTTGGTATACAGATTCTCCTGAACCCGAGAAAGGACGAGTTTGTTCATTTTTTCTTATCCACCGCCCCCCACCCCCCCTATTAACGATTTTCTATAACTCCCGTAATTCTTAGAATTTTAAACTAATTTGGTAGACACATCCAGTTAGTGATTATATATCTGTATACCAAGTTTCATTATGATAGGGTAATTAGAAAGAAAGTTATAGCCATATAACCAGGCCAATACACACATACAAGTATGTACAAGTACACCAACACGCATAGACACGATTCTGATGTAAATGTATGTATGCATGTATGGAATATTTTATATTTAATTTAGTTAATTAATTAAATTAATTTAATTACATTAATTAATTAATTAATTTAATTAAATTTTTTTGTGGGGTAGTACAGGGTATTTAAGAGTTGAGCCTGCTCGACTTTAGCATTCCTTTCTTGTTTATTTTCCGCCTATGGGGGATTTTAGGGAAACGTCGTTTGTGTAATCACCTACATATATCTCGGTGGCTATAAGACCAAATTTTATTATAGCCTGTACCCAAAGGGTGAAAGGCTATACTAGTTTTTTGCGCATGTATGTAACACACAGAAGGAGGCGTGGCAGACCCCACAAAGTATATATATTCTTGATCAGGATGAGAAGACGAGTCGATATAGCCATGTCCGTCTGTCCGTCTGACCGTCTGTCCGTCTGTCTGTATGAGCGCAAGGATCTCAGTAAGTACAAGAGCTAGGATAACCAAAATTGGTATCAAGGTTCCTATAAGCCCTAGGCAGAACGAGTTTGTTTATTTTTTCTGATACACCCCCCCACTCCCCCGCAATTCGTATTTTTTCTTATAACTTCCGTAATTCTCGGAATTTAAAAATCAATTAGGTACATCCAGTTTGTACTAATGTGTCCGTGTGCCAAATTTCATCATGATAGGTCAATTCTGAAGAAAGTTATAGCCATAAGTAAAATCGCTGCTCATGCGCTGCCTGCAGCTCTGTCGGCAGCGCTGCCCGCAGCTGTTGTTGTTGTTGCTGCTTTTGTTCAACTTTGTGCTGCATACATACACGCATATAAACACGCATAGGTACGTGATGTAAATGTATGCTGTTAAAACTGAACATAAACGTGTATTCTAATTTAATTTAATTAATTATTTTAATTAATAATTCATTCATTTTTTTTAATAATTTAATTTTTTTTTAATTTTATTTTTTTTTTTTTTTTTTCTTTTTGTGGAGAGTACAGGCTATTTTACTGTCGGGCTTGCTCGACTGTAGCGTCCTATCTTGTTTCAAGATTCCTTTTGTGAGTTCGCGAAAAATATGATTATGAGTCCGTAAGCTAAGTTTCATTATAATACATGAGATACATATGATCAATGTCTTTTTTACACCGTTTTCATTTACACCTTTTTCTGGAACCGTTTAAAAACAGAATTAGGTATACATATTTTTATAAGTGGGAACAGGGTATTCAATGAGTGTTCTTTTAATTGAAGGGTATAATACCAAGCGTCAGCATAAAATAATAGGCAATCAGTATATCGCAACGAAACTTTGATATAGACTAATAGATGATAACTGTTCGTGGCATGGTGACTGCAGCTAAGCCCTAACGTCGTACCTATAGTAATAAAATTTATTGTGGATAGATACGAATTAATTTAGTACACCTCCATCTGTTTTTACACGCTAGATTGGCTCCAGAAAAAGTCGTTTTAAAAAAGACATTGATCATTTGCAAAAATTGGTTATTGGTTCCTTATCTCTAAAACCTATTAAAATCAGTGAAAAAACAATGATTTATGTATATTTTATTAAATCACATGTATAATGTGCTAGCTGTTTGTCAACTGTGAGTGTTTTTTTTTTTATTTATTTATTTAATTCTATATCGTGCTAAATGGAATAAAGTCGTACATACAATGTTTAATTTTCAAACCGTGTTAAATAAAAACCGTGTAAAAACAGAATTAGGTGTATTTATTTTGAACTTGGTATATTATTTGGCTTTTGTATTAAATTTTAAAGCCGTTCCAAATTGTATCTATTATTACTAAGTACTTGCCAGTTTATATACGCGTATGTACATATGCGAGGAAATACGAGCAATAGGAAGACTGCCTATATACGCAGCAAATCGAACAGTATGTATAACTAATTGGATTAATTAGAATAACACAGAATGATGGAAACCGAAACGTGATACGTACAGCTTCATTTGTTTAACAAAAAGCAAAAAATGGCAATCACGAATTATTCCCATGTCATGCCTGTCATACACAATCAATATTAGTGGTGGAAAATACAATGTTAAAAATCATCCTCGTGTGCCATTATTTAATGACAAAAGAAAAAATGGATAAATAAACACATCCATTTGGGTGGAAAAAAGGGAGTGAAATTGAAATAAGCTTGTTCGCCTGCATTGCCGCATAAAAAATGGGAGAAACAAGATAGAACGCTACAGTCGAGCAAACCCGACAGTAAAATAGCCTGTACTCTCCACAAAAAAGAAAAATTCAAAAAAAATTAAATAAAATTTAAAAAAAAATTAAATTATTAAAAAAATGAATTAATCAATTAATTAAATTAGAATACATGTTTATGTTCAGTTTTAACAGCATACATTTACATCACGTGTCTATGCGTGTTTACAAGTATATGCGTGTATGTATGCAGCACAAAGTTGAACCAAAGCAGCAACATCAACAACAGCTGCAGGCAGCGCTGCCGGCAGAGCTGCAGGCAGCGCATGAGCAGCGATTTTACTTATGGCTATAACTTTCTTCAGAATTGACTTATCATTATGAAATTTGGCACACGGACACATTAGTACTAACAAAATTCCGAGAATTACGGAAGTTATAAGAAAAAACACGAATTGCGGGGGGGTGGGGGGGTGTATAAAAATAAAAAAACAAACTTGACCTGCCTAGGGCTTACGGGAACCTGGATGCCAAGTTTGGTTATTCTAGCTCTTGTACCTTCTGAGATCCTTGCGCTCATACAGACGGGCGGACGGACGGACATGGCTATATCGACTCGGCTTGTCACCCTGATCAATAATATATACACTTTGTGGGGTCTGCCACGCCTCCTTCTGTGTGTTACATACATGCGCACAAAACTAGTATAGCCTTTCACCCTATAAGAACTGTTGATGTGTGTTTAGTTTGTGTTTTAATTTAAATTGTAATTGCAATCACGCACAAACATGATATGAACTGGTCACAACAAATAAACATAAAAACCAATACGCATTTTTAATAAGGCAGCTTATTAATTTTCATCAACTTGACAAGAGGCTATTTACAAATAAATATTGATGATATTTGTACTGGTGGATGCGGATGTCACAGCAAATGTTGTGTGTCACATTAAGCATACATACTAGTACATCATTATGTATGTAGTAGGTACATGTACATACTTGTATAACATATACACATATTTTCTTAATTTCAATCAAATTGAGTTTGATATACTATAATTTATTTTGCATATTAATTAATTTATGATGTATGTGAATTTTAAAACAGGAGAATAATCACAGAATAAAAAGTGGAGAATAACTGACATATGATGGCGGAAGATAAGCTATGTTTAAACACCTTTCAAACACACATAGGTGAAATATTAACTGGATTAATCCAAACATTCAACAGATGAAAATGTATTTGAAAATGCACACATTTAGCAAAGAAACAAGAATGGGATGTTCGAGTTGAGCAAACCCAAATCTTAAATTTAGAAAGCAATAGTTTAATCAAATATAAATTGGGAATCTAAAAACACGGGTTTGGCGGTATACATGGACAAGAGAAAATGCTTCCTATCTACAAGTAGACAATTTGGAAACAGTGTCTCTATAGATAGATACGACTTTCA